CACATTTAAGTTTCTCTGCCTCTACTAGATCATTTAACCAATTTGGTTAATATTAAGTTGAAGTTGAGCCAAAAAGAAAAGAAAAGAAAAATGTCATAACATAAAACACAAAATTTTCAAAAATAATAAAAGAAGTTATTAATATATGAAAACGTAAATTAAACCAATTAAAGAAAAGGAAAACAAAAAATTCACATGGCATAAAAAAGAAGAAAATGTCAACCTGGTAAAGTGTGTGACTGGTGTTGTTTTCAATGAAATATGGCTTGATCGAAAAAAGCTTTGTATTCATAGGAACACAGTTTTACATTATTGCTCAGAGAAACAAAAAAAAAAAATTCCTAACAACTCTGATTCTGTGTTACACATCGACGCACAAAACATTCATAAACTGGCACGGACAACAGACACCAACCAGTTCTGCGTAGGAACGAACTGTTGAACCTTTCTACCTTAATCATATTGCTTCTTCTGCCTATTAGTAACCTCTGGAGGCAAAGACAGGAACTGGGTGATTTTCTGGACCTGAGAAGCATCAATTCGGTACTTTTCAGCTATCTCGTTCACACTCATTGGACCGTTGTGATCCTGAGCCTTGCCCTGATAGAGAAGCATGATGTGTCGCACTTGTGCCACGTTCAATGTTCCTTGAGGTACCGGTTTTTCCTCATACCTTGTTGATTCAGGAGTTGTGTTCCGAAGCTTTGGGAGTGGCCTTTTAGATGTCTCCACTACCGCTGCCTAAATAAATCACAAAGTCTTAATATGGATAGAGATATGTCTTGGTTTCGAGACAGAAAAAAACTAAAACCAGTAACCATAACCACAATGCTTATTTACAAATTTCGTTTCTCATTCTCAACTAACCAATCATAACCAGGACTAAGATCAACATCCGGAATTGGGACACAATCTGTTTGTCTTCTTCCCTATGCCAACAACTTTGTAAATATTTCATTTGGGGTTTAGTACAATCACCAACGGTTTTGTAAGTATTTCATTTGGTGTTGAATACACTACCAAAGGTTTTGTAACCTAGTAACACGACATATAACATGCTCTGGTATATCGATTTTCAATCCAATATAAAATTCTACACAGTCAAGTTAAAACCTCAACATAGAATCCAGAAATGCTAGAGTGGAATCAAGAACCAGTCCGGCACTTATCAGCTTAAAATCAATCAGCTACACGACCTTTACATGACTCATTACAAAAAGTCCACAAGATGATACTTAGAGACAACACAAGGTGGTTCCCATACACAGTTCATAATCGCTACATAACGAAAAACCCTGAAACTACAGCCAAGACTTAGCAACAGTATGTATGGATGGACATTGACTACCTATCAGTAGAGGAAATCAGATGTATCAATACTTGTCCTGATGAGGATCAATGTGTCAAAATCAGATTAACAGTGGAAACAATACTAACCTCTCCCATCTCAGCTTTGCCTCCAGGTTTAGCCTTTATTCTCCCCACCATTTGATTCAACATTGTATCGTATTGGGCGTCTCGTTCTTCTAAAGCATTATCCTCATTGGTTCTTCGAGCTTCATCTATAACCCAAATTCATATTGAAACGAACAAATTACTTGGAAATGGATACAAAAACTAGCCCAAGATTCATCATCATCAATCATTTTTCAGAGAAATGTGACACCTTTCGAATACCCAAAAGCTACCGGAAAAAGGGAAGAACAAGGTTCTAGGGTTTTTACCAGAAACAGGATCAACGGCGGTAATAGACGGAGATTTCCCGGCGCTGAGGTCATCCTTGGGAAGAGATCTCCGATCGACGGCGACCCTTGATGTAGAAGAAGGTGATCTCTCAACTTGTTTGATTCTCCCAACGGCTCGACGCAATTGCTGACCCATTACGCAGAAACGCCCACTCTCACTTTCTCTCTCGGCCGATTCTTATAAATTACAAACTCAATAGAAGAATTCTGGGTTTGTTTTGCTGCATTCCGATGATTGCAATACGGGAAGAATTCTTCGAATCAAACGGTAGAGGAAGCAGCTCCAGTTGCGTTTGATTTCTGAAGGAGGCAGAGAGGGAGCAACGCTTGAGATGAAGGAAGGAAAGTGAGGAACGTATTCGTGTTGAAGGGTTACACGCGCCTGCTTTCAGAGACGCTCACAACTTAACTTATTTTTTCTTCTTTTTATTATTACTCTCGGCGAGGCGAGAATCGAACTCGGACACACAACCTCACAAGGTCAGACGCCTTTGTTTGTTGTATTATTATGGTCAACGAAACCCAAAAGCACGGA